CTGGATGGGCTGTGAGGTCCCTTCCAAACCATAACCCAAACCATTCTAGGATTCTAGGAAATGTTCTATAGTACATACATACTCTTACACTTGCACCCTCATTCAATCATCTAAATCTCTTTTCAGCCAGAAGATCCTTGAAGTGATAGAATTCTATTTCATCACAATTAATCCGTTCTTCCTCTTCTGTGCAAAACCCGCAGATTCCTCTCAATCTTGCAGCTCTATTTAAAAACTCTTCAACAAACTCTTGTCCTGATTCTTCCCATTACATCTGTGTAACATCCCCAAGTGTTACAGCCTATTTTATAGGCCGCCGCTAACACGCTCTGCCCGTGCTCTGCGCTGAAATGACACAAAGTAGTGCAGCTGCAACTGCAACTGGACCAAGATCAATCCAAGAAAAGCCAAAAGAACAGCAAGGTTGTTTGCAACCAGGTTGCTGAAGTATAAGACTTCCAAGCAGCTTGGAGCGCAGGCAGAGCTAGCTTGCAAAGGACGCAGACATACCCTATGTCACAGAAAAAGCGAAAGGGAAGAGATCAAGCTCTTACGCCTGCCTAGCCTGCTCGATGGGATCATAGTTGTCGAGGTAGTTGAATCGGATGGTGTCTGTAGGATGCCTGTCTGATGAACGCCATGGTGGGAGCTCTTTTTTCTCCTTGTTTTTCCTCCTTCCTGGCATAGAACGTTTTGCCTCTGGGATGTTGCTTCTTACTGGTTGCACATCAATAACTACAAACTCATCCTTTGAAGGAGTCTAATAAGAGACATTAAAAGAAGAAAATAAATTTTTAGCTTATAATGAAAATGAGATTTATTTTGCCTAACTTTAGACTTCTAAGAATTTGATATTAAGTCAAAATTAGTCCCTCCAGGTTCCAGTATGGTCAACGGACAGAAACAGGCACCCTAACAGTGCATGTCATCGCTCATGTCCCAAAATCTGTATTAAGATGAGCTGAGCTGCTCTCGAGATGAATTGGCTTCTCTCCATTGACTACAGAGAGAGTTTACAGGGGAGTTTGGTTAAAATTAGAGGGCTACACCCCACCTTTGCTTATCAGATTGAGGCAAGCTATCATATGGTCTATAAACTGGGGAAAAAGAGAGAACAGCCTTGTGTGCTGGAGTGGGAAATTTAGAGGATTACCCTAAAAGAATAGAAGAGTGAGACCTTGGTGACTGCTTCTCCTAACTAGTGAGATTTTCACTTCCCCCCTACCAGGGATGGACGATGGGAAAGCAGAGCGTGTGGCAACACGTGAGTTTAGATTCTAATTTAAAATGATGTATCTTTCGTGTTACTAGTGGGAGATTACAGAAAGAAAAAGAGGCGAAGGGGTTAGGAACCCAACCAGCCCCGTTTTCCCACTGGCCCTGAACATCTCTAGAGGTGGTAGGTATGTATGTACCTTTGGTCTCGTGACATGCAGCTCCTTCACCATCTCAATGTAATGTTTCTTCCAGATTCCTTGCTCAAAGGGGGTTGGAGAGAAGTTGATGTACCAGCCAAAACGCAGGCATTTCAGCATCCAGAGCTGATCCAGTTCAGACAGGTACTTCCAGTACCAGCTCACCTGTGAATGCCCAGTAAGTTGAAAACCTTTGGATTTCAAGCATCCAAAATTGCTGCTAGAGATTTCTGTGCTGTGGATGTAATTCCCCTATGTCCTTAAACTAGTAGAATTCTTCAGCACTGCTTATACTCCATTTAGACCTTTCATTAAACCATTTAAACCATTCAAGGACATGCTTAGTACCTGTGTTAGCTGATTTCCAGCACAGGGGGAAATATTCCAAAAATCACAGGTCAAGAGGAAAGATTTCGGCTCGTTTGGAGCAACTTCCTGCACTTGTACTCAGTAAGCCTACAGTAGTTGGAATAAACCCTTTGTTTCCACTGAGAAAACAGCATCAATAAACTCCCCAAGTCCGATAGACCCGTTCTGAACTTTTTCTCCCTACTCATACTCTGCTATTATACTCCATCACCAGATTGTGAACCAGATGTTGGGTTGGAACTAGATGATCTTTGAGGTCCCTTCCAATCCAACTCAAACCATTCTATGATTCTATGATTCTATGATCACAGTCACCTTGCATGCAACGCTCGGTCCAGCTTAAGGACAAACGTCATCTATTGGCACTGCCATGCTTATAACAGCAGCTGTCCAATGATATGACACAAGTAGCACTGGAAAGACCTTTCTCTCTAAGTAAGTAATTTCCTAACCTGTCTTCTCCCTGCCTGTGAATGAGTAGTGTGAGCTGCATCCACATAAAACATGAAATGCTGGAGAAAGATACTAGAGCAAGCTTTAAAGACACTGAGATTTTGATATATTCATAGTATTATATGGAGTACTGCGTTAGTGCGGTCATAATGTCACCAATATCTGAACTTATTACTTTGGAACTACTTTGGGCATCACCTCACAGCACTTTATCTCGTGTAAACATATTTTTTGAGTCTTAACCGCTGTGCTCAAAAGACTGAAGCCCTAGCCACTGTGCTCAAAAGCACATCTGTCACTTCTCTGCTTCTCCCCATCCAACGCTTTAACCTCAAGCATTTTAAAGGATCTGGTTTTCTTAAAGGCTCGTGTGCAGTTCTTTGCAACTAGCACAAACCAATACTTTTCAAAGCAACTAATGAATGCTGCACACGGTGCAAGGTACTTTAAAATAACGTGATTTTGAGAAAGTACCAAGCCTCCTTCTTGGGAAGAATCAGTCTTGTAAAATGTCACATTTTAAATGCTGAGCATCTAAAATTACTCTTCACTTTTGTAAATCTTGGTCAATTATCTGGCTTAATTTAGGATCTGTGGAAGTGTTGCATTCGGTCTCATGCGAGCGTGACTAAGCATTTGGCACCAGGCTGCCAAGCCAGAAGATATCCTTGCATTATGAACAGCCCTGGTATGTCCTTGCTGAAAACTAGAGCTGTTTTCTTTTTTTTTTTAAATTAGCTTGACCTGACTTTCTGAACCTTAGGTACGTGTTGGCTTTTTTACCTGTGCACATCGACAGAGGCTCCGGGGGTCCAGGAAGGAAAAGATGTATAAAGACAGGACTCTAGGAAGCTTTGTGGTAAAATCTAGAGCCTCGGTGGGGATTCGATCCTGTAGCTGCTTGGCACAGAATTTCTGCTGTGACGGGGAGCAGCGTTCCAACAGGTCCACCAGGATCCTCCGCCTCTGACCATCTGTCCACTTGTCAAACTGAAAAAAGGAGTTTCAGGTTCTGAGAAACCGGAGATTCAGCTTCTTAAAATAAAGCACACATTTAAGGCAAGGGAAAATGCATAAGCAGCAGCTTCTGGTGACTCATTCAAGAGCAAAGCACGTAGGAACTGGGAACAAATGGAGAGGCTACATTAAAAGAAACTCTGAAGCCACTTAACATATGGTTTATAATCCTCAAAGGATCCAGGATGGCCTAGTCCAGGACACACTCATGCTCACAAGACTCTTTACTCCTGGGACCTGCTCCGAGACTTGGCTTCCCTCGTGGTGGTTACAGGATCAGGTCCCACCTTACAATGAGTTCACTGCTGATTCCTCATCAGTCCGGCCACTTCTATGGCCCCCACTACTGCAGTATTTGAGTGCCTCACAATTTGTAAAGTATTTATTCTCACAGTCCCACTGTAGAGGAGAGAAATCCCCACTACAGAGAAGCGGAGCAAAGCGAAACTAAATCAGCTGCCCATGTCTCACAAGGAAAATCTGCGGCACAGACCCGGCAGCGCAATAACAAAGATTTTTCACGGCATTTCTATGCTTATAACAGGTATCTAACGAGGAAGATTAAAACAGTTGCGGGAAGAAATGAGCACTTAGGTAACCACACACGCACGTATCGCTTTGCCACGATGGCAACAACAACGCAGCATTGAGCGGAGTGGGGCAGAGCTGTGTAAACAGAGCGGGAGCAACGGTGGCGGTGGCTGGTGTTTAACTTGCGTTGATAGCAGAGGATGGAAAGGGCC